TGGTTTTCGTCATTTATCAATGTTGATTTTAACTTTAATGTAACTTAAGAGAACGAGCTCTCTTGTTTTATTCTGAAACGTTGATGAAGATCTTTGTAAAATATTTTACACTCTATATCTCTATAAAATTTTTTGCGCGAAAAAATTCTTCAGCAACGGGAAAAAGAAAATATAAGAGAAAAATTAACAAAGGATTATATATTTAAACTTTATCTTTACTGTATTATTTACATTTTCTGCTGAAATAAAGCGGTGTAAGCACCTTGTGCGTGGAAAAGTCATAAAAGCAAACATATGACTAACTCATCGCTTTTAATTATGTCATTATGATTATCACTGACAGTCAAGATGTTAACATCTCGAAAACATGATTAAACATGTTTGTTCGCTGCATCCATCAGGCTCGAAGTTGCCGATATCTGACATGTTTGTGCTATATAACACGTTCATAGCATTCGTGAAAAATACGATCTCGCCACATCGTACTCACAATTAATTCGACACTTGACGTAAAGCCGATGCGCGTAATAGAACGATGGCAAATATTATTAGACGTCAGGATAATGCGTAAATGATGATAAATTGTTTTTGAGAGTAGCCGTAATGCGCTTGATAGGACTAAAATACATCATGTAAAAAAGAGACGCGATGAAAATTTACAGGCGTCAATGATACAAATAAAGTTAATAAACGCGAAAATCATGGGTCTCAAATATTAATCTTCATTCGAGAAAAATTTACTTCAGTCATCAATCTTAAATCAATATCCATAAAGCATAAATATCCATTATTTTTTTAATATTAATTAAAAGCTTACATGTATCTCGCAACATGTCTGCATTTCAAAATTTTTCTTATATATATATGATACATATGTCCCCCCCCCTCCCCCAGGAATTTTATGAAAATAAAATATCTCAGATATTTCTGTGTGAAATTCTTTCTCTTTTTTTTCGCTTTTTACAAAACATTCATTTTGATTGCCTATTTTGATATTGTTTTTTACGAAAAAAAAAAAAAAAAAAATTGTTTACAGTATCTCTATGTGTAGAAATCTAAATGTTTCTAAGTGATTGCATCGTATATTATCGCACGGAGGAGCTCCCGAGGGGAAAATGTTCTCGAACTTCCTGTAGAATATCCCGGAAACATTTCGTAGGGAATGTCCTATCAACCTTAATGATCCTTCTTCACGCCACTTTTGGCCCCCTCGCTCGTAATTCGAATGCCCTTATCACGCTGACACGCACGCTGTAATGCAATGTGTGTATATAGCTATGTCTCGCTGCGATTTGACCGCGGCATTTCGATACGCTTTCCATTTAGATCGGTAGCAAACCACACTCGCGTTACACAAAATAATTCGCATTCGTGATGTCACGTGCGTATCACGCACGATAAATGAAGACTTGGTTCAACATATTCATTACATTCCTATTGTATTTACATTACAAACATCAGTTAGATCTCGGCAATCGTGAATATTTGCGCCACACAGATCGTACACATGTGAGCAATTTTATTTTTAGAGAGAGAGAGAGAGAGAGAGAGAGAGAGACATAGACAAATTCAAGTTCCTTTTTATTTAAGTTATTTATTTATTTAGGCTATTTCAAAAAATGCAAAAAATTTTTTCTATACAGCTCTGTAGTTAGACACGGTTATTATTTCATGTTGAAACCTTCTATTTATAAAAGTAACATCTCCTGTAAATTTTACAGAAGATGTTACTAACAGAAATTTTACTAACATTAATAATAATATAGTAATTGAAGGGATTAATGTTTTTATAGTTTTATCTTGTAAAGAGAGAGATTGTACTTAGAAAAAAATTTAATACATTTTATGAAAAATTTCATTTTTTTAAAGAGAAAAAAGAGGGATATATATACTAAAAACTCAAGCTTAAACTTTCATCTAACATTTTTATATAATTTACTTTTTTCGAAAATTACAGAAAATTTTTGTCTCTGTATATAGCTCTATACTTAGATGGCGATTAGCTCATTCTAAGTTTTTTATTTATAAAAATAGTATTTTTTATAAACATTTTTTACTTACGTTTATTAATAATGACGCAGCAATGAGGAGAATTTATAATCGTTTTATATTCTTTTTTTATAAAAAGAGACTATATATAATAAAATGTTAAAAATCTGCAGATTCAATATTCACAAATTAATAACATAAACAGATCGTAACATGATATATAATTGAGGATAATTAGATATACAAAATGTTGATGAGAAAATTGATCTGTGTATTTCCAATTTTCAATATTAAACATCTTTAAATTTGTTATATAATACCATATCTATCTCAATATAAAGTAAATACTTGAGATTAATTAAAAGTTAAGATAATTTTGCTATTTGCTTTCAGTCTTGCGGTTTAATTCGCGGAAAGACATTCACTTCCCAACATTCATAATCTATAATTAGATATTATTAACTAACATTACAACATCGCGATATCCAAGGAAAGAATTTCTTTCTCCAAGAAAAGAATTTCGTTCTCCCTATCAAACTTAGATTAGAGATTAAATATTAACGAAGTATCGTGTACTGTAACATAAATCGACACGTTATTATTTTTACATTTTTAAAGATAAATCCGTATTCTTCCTTTTCTCTTTTGAAAATATTATATCTTTTTTTCGATATCTCTATAGCGTAACGATAGTTATGCTCAATGGTAGTCACCAAAAGCACGTACAAGATAACTTTTTATAACATTATACAATTCACATGATATCGCTGATCGTTGCACGCCGATCACGTTTCCCTGCTCGAACATGCAGCGCTCCACTTAATGCGTACAGTTTTTATAACGAATCGCTTTCCTGTCGTGCATTTACTTTCTAGCAGGTATAATCGAATGACTTTGGAAAACTTTTTTGCAGTAACGTGCAAGAACGTCTCGTCCTAAAATCTTGGGTTGGCGACAGTTGGATAGGCTACTACTTGAAAGAAATGGAATGTAGCCAAAATAAAAAGAAAACAAATTGAAAAGAAAGTGGAACCCTACAGATTCGTCGGCATAACATAAATGGTTTAAAGAAATATTATAAGCAGCTTAAAGAATAACAGAATTTTTTCAAATATCCTTTTTGTAGTTTTAGAAAATGCGCATTGTTTGTTAACCAAACAAGAAACGTTATAATTCTTGTCTTTGTATTCTTTATATTCTTGTCTCATATATTTTTTTACTTATTTAAATATGCCCGATGTCGTCAATGTATTCCATTTTTATATATTTCTAAAATTACATTATAGATATTTACTTATCATATTTACTTCAGATCATTGTTTCTAAGAAGCATTGTTTCTAAGGATGACTTTGATTCAATCTCTCCTTAACATAATTGACAATTAATTCAATTGATACAATTGATTGAAAACAAAATTTCTAGCTATATATAATTATTTCTACCTTGATTTGCAAGAATAGTAATTAAAGTCCATTAATTAAAAATTAAATAATAAAATTAAGAAGTCACTTTTAATTTAATTTAATTCAACATTTTTTACTTCTTTGAATACTAATATTATTTTTTTACACAATTTTCTTTTTCATACAATTGTAAACATTAAATTATTAGTTCAATCAAAGATAAACATAGGAGATTAATAAACTTAGTTAAATGAAAAGAGATATTTAAATATATATGAAAAATAATATTTGTATGTTATTTCATATAACTTAATTTACAAAATATTAAATTTATTTAATATTCTATATTGTAATTGTTTTATCCTTTAAAGTAATCTAATTTTTAATAAATACAACATTTTAATTTAATATAAACAATGATTTTTTAATTTAACTTATTGTTAAATTAATTTTAACTAAAATAATTTTTTGTTCATACAACTTTTAATATAAATTACTCGAGTTAATTTTATATGTTATTAATTTCAATTTAATTTAAAAAAAATTAACTTATCTAATCTTGATTACTTAACGCATTAATTTTTCAATTAAGTTAATCAAAACTCTTGAGCTCAGTTTTATACAATTTAAAATAATTTATGTAATGAGTCACATTACATTACCAAATAGCATTTTATGTGTAATATTAATTTTAATTTGTTTATTTTTTATTTTAATTTATTTATTTTATTATATTTTAATACATTAATGTCTTAATATATCAGGATCATTAAAGCCTGATGTATTAGCATATAGTTCTATTTGTAATTTTATATACAGTTCATATATTAATTCTCCGATAAATTTAAATTTATACAAAAAGATATTAATAATCTGACGTATTTTAATGCACATATAATAATAATGATAATAAAAAACTTGAACATATAAATACTTTCACATATAGTACAGTTTTTATATAAAACATAATCGAATATGTAAAAAATATATAAAATTTACTTTTAAGTTATTTTCTACATCAGAATTTTCACATGCTATTAAGATTATATATATATATATATACATATTTTTTTACCTTTTGCAGCGAAAAGATCACAAACAGATTTTATTCTAAATTCTAATGCGAATTTAAATTATCTAAGGCGAACTTTTAACATTAGAAGTGCCAAATAATAATTTTTGACTCTTCTTATTTTTTTAAATTCATATTTTTCTGGTTTTAGGATTTTAAATTTTCTTAATATTCCAACAGAATAAAGAAAGTTAATTAAAAATAAATGAAAAATTGAACTGAAAATTGTAAAATTATTCAGAATTAAGATACTTTTAATGTGAAAAAGAAATTAATTTAACAAATAGAAATAGTTAGAAATAATCGTTTAGTACCTGTAGTATTAACAATCTAATTTTTATAAACGCTCAAAGTAAAATACAAATCGTGCCCAATACAATCGTCGAGAAATAAATTTGTGGCTTGGCAACTTAAAATAGGGAATTCGTACAGCGTCTGATTGCAGAAATTGCTAATTCTAGGGACTTTGGCCGGTAATACGCTTTACCTTTGGAAACAAATTTTTCTATTGGAGCACGACCTCCCTTCTACGGTCGGAGTCCACAGTCCACGATAGTGTGTCTATAGATGAGGCTCCCTAGGTTGTCATCATCCGCCATCGTGCATTTCCATGTCAGCGTGTCGTGCGTGCGGAACGTTTTATTTCGTGCGAGGCGAGGGCTACGATCGGGTTACGATTATGTCGAGTACCGTGAAGAATTCGGAACGATTGCCGCAGGCGTTCGTTAAATAACGCGAGTCGTCGAACGGCAAGCGACGACGGGATCACGCGAGGTCAGCCGAGGACGGGCTCCTGAAACGAGATCGAGGGTCGAGACTCTTCCACATCGTAAGTAGCGTGTTCATTATTAGAGCAACGTGTTTCTCTGGAACAGCATCGCGGAAAGAAAACGAGAACGCAAGATTTTAAAATACCTGGGGTACCAAAGAGTACGCAGGAAAACGCAAGGATTATATCTCGTCGACAGCGTCCGGCTGACGATAGTTCTGTGCTATGTGCGGCATGTCAGTCAATAGTCAACTCTCGGAAAATGAAAATCTATTTTTTTCTACCTTGGCAAATTCTTGTCTCTATTGAGTACAAAGTACAAGCGAAAACCTTCGCGCGAGAGATCGCGCTTTCTACGAAGCTCCAAAGTACATCGCTGCGTTATAGAAGAAATTTTTCTCTTCTCTTTCTGTTCTCAAGCTATGGCTGAACAATGAACATATGCCGTTATGAACGACGCTAATCATTGTCACTCTTGGAATCTCAGCGAAATGGCTGACTTGCGAGTTTTATGGCAATATTCGTGCTCACTGTCTTGTATCCTAAACTACAGAGCTATGGAGTCTCAAATTAAAAAATTTTTCTCGTCATTGATTACCAAACCATTA